TTCTCTGTGCACCTTCACTTTTTTAAAAAATAAGTGGTTAAATCTGTGCTGTGTGCTCGGGTTGTCAGCCTTTTTTACTTGGTGACCTGAGAGCCCTGGGATTTGCAGAGCATCTGTGTTTTAGAATAAAACTTGTGTGGGGTTTCTCCTGGATGAATCTTCATGTGTGTGGTTGTCTGTCTTCTTGCTGCTCAACCACAGTCACTAATTCCAGCATTGTGTTAGCTCTGGGAGCCTGTAAGGGAGGTTAATTACTTTGAGGCCTGAGGCAAACTGCAGTGAGTGTTCATATGCTTTCCCTATCCAGAAGGCCATGGAAGAGGAATGAAAAGGAAGCCTGGAAGGGGTTAAGAGTGTGTATAGTGTTCTGTATGAGTTGCATTTGAGTCTGCTGGAAGGATGACAGGAACCAGTGGGAGAGAAACAGATACAGGAACTGAAATAACTGAAGCTTTGTGTCTTAAATAGAAGAAAACGAGAAGGTGTTTGCTCAGATTAAGGAAATGAATCAGATGAGCTTAATGTGAGTCACTCACAGAAGTCCTGCTGATCCTTTACAGGTTTTCTGAGGTCCTGGTGGAATGAGGATTGCATTTCCACCTCTGGGTATGGCACACCTCCCTCAATCCATGTAGGGCTTCCACGGCTCACAAGAAGTGTCTGAGGGAATTTAAGAGGAGTGTAATGATAGAGTGGAACAGTAGCAACCTATTGAAAGAGCAGTGCAATAGTATCTGCTTAAGTATATGCTTAGGAAGCTTGAAAGGACTGGGAGTAAGTTCCTCACTCCTCTGGACCTCGCTGGCTCTGCGGAGCCTTCACAGTTCCCTCTGGTTACATGCCACTGCTGCATCTGCTTGTCACCTTTCAGCAGGAGCCCGTTTCTGCTGCAAATGGTATATACAACCAGTTTGTGTCCTTGCCAACACATACTTCTGCAGGACCTCTGCCTGCTATAAATAAACACTGCCAAATTTGACAAGCTGGACCAGGCCGGCTGCTAAACTGCCTACTAGGAATGGACTGCGGGAAGAACCTCGGTTGCATGGGCTTGGAGCAGCAGCTGAGAAATCATTTTAGCATGGCAGTTAATTGCACTTAACACCTTTGGCTAAACAGAGCTGGTAGAATCCTTAAATTATTATTGTTTTTCAAGGCTGGCTCCTTCATGCTGGAACGAAGTCCAGCAGAGCTTGTTTCCAGCTGGATTTATGTGTGAAGGACTGGGGGAAACAGTGATGGCCCCACTTCAGTTTAAGAAGCAAAAAAACATTTCAAAGCACGTGAAAAATTCTGAGAAATTTCCATGCAGTAGTTGAAGGGGGAAGGAAGTGCGGGAGGCTTTGGTAGGCAATGTCCCACTGGAATTCCTAGAGGTAGTTTTGGGACATGCTAAGTAGTTACTCTGCACAAGCAGAGGAAAGAAGCTGCTTGAATTGAATTTTCTCCTCCTAAAATTTAATCAGCAAGTATTATAGGGTGAAGGTGGCCTGGAAGAACTGAGCCAAACAAATTTGGAAAACCTTGGTTCTGCCCTGTTAATATTCCTTGATTTTAATGCATGTCTTTCCATCTCTTTCTCTGCTTCATGCTGGGAATTAAGAGTCTTTCTTTTTCTCGGCTCACTCCATGCTGGGAGTGTTTTCTGGCCCAGAACAATCCAAGCATCTCAATTTTATGAACAAGATCCTGATGTGTGTACGTAATGATCCTTTTAATATACCAGTAGGCAGCAGAAATAGCACCATGGAGGGGGGTTTCAGTGTAGGTTAGAATGACAGTGCTGGGCTTTGAGAGTTTAGATAAACACTTCCCTTTAATCAGATTGGGTATATGGACTTTTTTTCCCAGAATTTTGTCAACTCTTGCTGTCATCTTTAGCTTGAGCAACTTGGGAATCATTTTTTGGCCACAGAAGTTGTAGAAGCTGACTCATGTTGTCCTCCCTGCCAGCCACGTGTTCGTGCACATTTCCCCTGACCTGACAGGGGGATGATCCTTTCTCTGAATAGAAATGAGTACGGGTAGATATGAGTTTCATGAAAAGAAAAACAGCCAAACAGTCACTGTTATCGCTTCCATTTTTTAACAGGCTTTCATGAGTTTCCTTTCCTCCTTTTGATGGAGCAATTTACCTTTATAATAATTATGAATATAGCTAATAGACCCCAGGCTCTTTGACATCCATTTTACTGTGCTGGTTAAAGTATTGCTATAATGTAAATTTAAATAGTCTGTGAAACCTTTTATATACTTAACATGTCTAGTGACTGTGCTGCAAGATCTCCTTTGAAACACTGAATTAAAAGCCATTGGTCACCTGTGATAATAGCCCAAATGTCTCCATGAGCTGGGTAAAATTCAGAGGAAATGATCACCCACCTGATGGAAACCTTTTTATTCTTTAACCAACCACGTAAATCTGTTCTTGGCTTCTCTTGCAGCCGAGCGAGCTCTAGATACCATGAATTTTGATGTGATCAAAGGAAAACCCATTCGCATCATGTGGTCTCAGAGGGACCCTTCCTTGAGGAAGTCAGGGGTTGGGAATGTCTTCATTAAGAATCTGGACAAATCCATTGATAACAAGGCACTTTATGACACATTCTCAGCGTTTGGAAACATTTTGTCCTGCAAGGTGAGAGATGTGGTAACTTTGTCCAATTCTGCTGTGGCGGGGACAGGATCAGACAGTTCAGTGTAGGAAGTGGAAGGGGCACCTTTCACCAGATGAGGAGCAGAGTCTGAAAGGCAGAGTGGGCCAAAAGCTGGGGCGTTGCTGAAGTCGTGTCAGATCTGGTCGTGAAGTCTGAAACACAGCCGCTGTCTTTGTCGTGCCCCGGGCAGTAAGATACTTCCACGTGAATGTGACAGAGGAGGCACCACGTCCAGAGGGCTGACGTTTTGTTTTCCTTGCCCGTGTTGCAGGTGGTGTGTGATGAGAATGGCTCTAAGGGCTACGCTTTTGTGCACTTTGAGACCCAGGATGCTGCAGATAGAGCCATCGAGAAGATGAACGGCATGCTGCTCAACGACCGCAAAGTGTGAGTGTCACAGCCGGCAGCAGCAGCGCTCACATGCTCCGGGAGGCATCTCGGTATTAACAGGGACACACAAGGCACTGGTTCTCCTGGCCCAAGCCTTGGCCTGCTACCTCTCCACTACAGGGCTGGTGAGTGACCCTGCCCAAGCCATGGCCTGCTACCCCTCCATTCCAGGACTGGTGGGTTTCCCTGACCAAGCCTTGATTTGCCACCTCTCTGCTAGCGGGCGGGGTGGGTTCTATGGACAGGACAGAGGTGCAGAGCTGGGTGGGCGTCCTTGGCTGACCATAGGACAGGTGATTTTTCTGGTTGGTCTGTGGCCCGTTTGTTGTCCTCTGCTGTCACCCTTTCTTGTCCCCATTCCCAGCTCCTACTACACACTCATTTTTTTGCCTCGCTGCAAGTCACACATTGTTCTTCCACTCTTGAAGACAATCTGTTTATTGGGATTTTCATTCTTTCTTGCAGATTTGTTGGGAGATTCAAGTCTCGTAAGGAGCGGGAGGCTGAGCTGGGAGCCAAGGCAAAAGAATTCACCAATGTTTATATTAAAAACTTTGGGGATGACATGGATGATGAAAGACTAAAGGAGCTCTTTGGCAAATATGGTAAATACAGAAATACTTTTAATGAGACTGAATTCCATGACCTGTGGTAGTTTGAGTGCTGCTACTGTCTGTGTAGCTCTACCTGGGTCACTTTAAGGCTGAGGTGTGGGAATAGTTGTGCCAAATGTTGGACAGGAGGCAGAGGCTGAGGGCTGGGGTTATTTTATGAAGCTTAATAGTCTTGAAATAGGTCTATGATATTTTACTAACCCTGTCCCTTGCTAACAGGTAAAACACTGAGTGTTAAAGTGATGACAGACCCCACTGGAAAATCCAAAGGCTTTGGCTTTGTAAGCTTTGAAAAGCATGAAGAAGCTAACAAGGTAGGACCGATTTTTGTTGTTTGGGTATCTTCAGAGAAGAAAAACGTGGTTTGTCATGGGAGCCTGTTTCTGAAAAGAAAGAAAATTCTGCCTCAGGCATAACTGCTTCTAGATGTGGGAACTTAGAAACCTTTTGCACCTTACTAGCTCGACATTCAAGGGTAACTTGGCATTTCTCCAGTTTCCTAGATCCACAGCATGCAGTGGTATAATCAAGACTGTTAATTGCTGGAGAAACACTACAGTGCAGGACTTGAGGAGGGGGACGGTTTCTAGAGTGAGAACATGGTTTAAAAATGGTCTTCTCTAAGCAGTGTGCTCGTTAAAATTTAGCCTTATTTGCAAGAAGGGGTGGGGATAAATTCCCAATGGTGTTGTGTCAGCATGATCTGTCCTGATAACTTCAGTTTGTCTTTAATTAGCCTGTTGTCACACAGAAACAGTGCAAAGGTAATGTGCAAACTTTGATTTATTGACTGACGGGCAGGATACAACGTGAGCTCTGGGCAGGCCTGTTCCTTACAGGATCAGGTACTGCCTTGCTTCAGCGGCTGACAGCTTCCTCTTGGACCCTCTGTGCAGGCAGTGGAAGAAATGAATGGGAAGGATATCAATGGGAAAATGCTGTTTGTGGGCCGAGCACAGAAGAAGGCTGAGCGCCAGGCAGAGCTGAAGAGAAGGTTTGAACAGCTAAAACAGGAGAGACTGAGCCGGTACCAGGTGATTAGTCTGTTCCTTCTCTGATTTTAAGCACCATTTTCAGTCCATTGCTGGACTCAAAAGGAGTTGACAAGCTATCATTGTCCTGTGAGAGACCTTGGGAGTTAAAACTTAAAGGTGTCTCCGTGGTATTTGGTGTCAAAGGGTTAATAATCTTGGCAGTGAAAGCGTTTAGGAGGACATGAGAAAACAGGCATGCAGTCTCCTTGACTGTCAAATGGGGAAACCCAGAGGGATGGGAAGAGGCAGCATAACTCTGCACTGTTGTCTCTAACTTATGGCAGAACTGGGTCATGTCAGAGGTCGCATCTGAAACTTCCCCACTCCTTGAGGTACAGTTCTGGACTGGGGACACATGATGCAACAGGGAAGCAGAGGAAATCCAGACAAGCTCCCTTTCACCACAGTGGGACTTGTCTCTACGCCTTTGCAACATTTATCACACCTTCAGCTTTGGGTGGTATGAAAGGAACATGATGCTAAATTAAGAGTTTTCAGATAAATTACAGCTCTGGCAGATGGATAACTGTTCCTGTGCTTAAGATTTTCTTCAATGTTATGAATGTCTTACTGTTCTCTCCCTTCCAGGGTGTTAACCTATACATTAAAAACCTAGATGACACTATAGATGATGAAAAACTGAGGAAGGAGTTCTCACCTTTTGGGTCAATAACGAGTGCCAAGGTATTGTTGGGTTTAGGGGTATTTCAGTTTTAAAGCCTGAAGAAGGAACTGTTGTCTGACATGGGATTAAAGGGCAGTTCTTATCTTCTGGTCGTAGTGGTTCTGAAAATATCTGGACTAGTAAATAAACAGATTTCTTTGGGGCTTGGTGGGATTTTACTGAAAGCTTCATTCCCTTATCAAGAGGGGAGACAGGAAGGGGCAAACATGCCTGGTTAAGTGACTCCCAGTGAGCAGGAAATGGCATTTAGAACTGCACCAAATCTTTCCCATTCCTTACTGCGCAGTGTGGGCCTGGGGACACATGGTGCTGACAGCAAAGCAGAGCAAATCCAGACAAGTGACTCTCCATTGAGTACCTGCCTCTACACCTCTGCAACAGTTATGTCCTACCTGCCTGAAATTTAAAAAAACAGTGATTCTTAGGCTAAGTTGTGGTGCTGGTCCTCCACTAGCAATTGATCTTTACTGCAGGTGATGCTGGAAGATGGACGGAGCAAAGGGTTTGGCTTTGTCTGCTTTTCCTCTCCAGAGGAAGCTACGAAAGCTGTGACAGAGATGAACGGGCGGATTGTGGGCTCCAAGCCATTGTATGTGGCACTGGCACAGAGGAAAGAGGAGAGAAAGGCCCATCTCACGAACCAGTACATGCAGCGCATCGCTGGGATGAGAGCCTTGCCTGCCAACACAATCATTAACCAGTTCCAGCCTGCTGCTGGGGGGTATTTCATGCCTGCTGTGCCCCAGGTGAGCTGAGCCAGTGTGGGCTCTTTAACATGTCTTAGAGGTTCGTTGGTTCAGCGGCATTAATCTCATTGAGCCTTTCTTATGTCTGTAAGCAAATAACTCCTAATAAGGGGCACAGTCAGTGGGGTTAATTCTGTGACTTGCCAGCTGCCTGTTCTCTTAATCTGACTTGAGTGTTGAGTCCTGGCAACCACTGCCCAAACATGTTGTAAACAATGTTTGTGATTCACTTAGATGTTGCCTCTGAGCTTGTCTGATCTTTCTTCAGGCTCAGAGCAGACCCACTTACTATGCACCCAACCAGATGACACAGATGAGACCCAACCCACGCTGGCAGCAAGGAGGAAGACCTCAAGGTGAGCGTGCCGGAGGCTGTTTTGGTTGTATGACCCTTTGGTGGCTGTGCTTCCCAACGGGAACAATCCATGCTTTCCTTTCCACGCACAACCCCTGTAGCTGACTGTTCTTGCTTGCCAGTTGGTTCTGTTCTGAGGATCTCCCCCCGTGTTCCCCATCAGGCTTCCAGGGAATGCCCAATGCCATGCGCCAGTCGGGACCCCGGCCGGCCCTGCGCCATCTGGCCCCTGCCAATGCTCCGGCCTCCCGTGGCCTCCCGGCTGCTGCCCAGCGAGTTGGTAAGGGATCTGCTCCCAGGCCATTCCCCTTGTCCTGGAGGGAAGGAGGAGCATGCTATGGAGCCTTGACTTCCGCTTCCAAAGATGGTTGTCAGATATGGGACAACCAAAGGTCACCTGGAGCAAGGGGCAGAGCCAGCACCTGACTCTTTCCTGTTCCTCGCTGTGCAGTGCAGGTCTGGGGGACAGTCGGTGCTACAGCACAGCAGTGGAAATCCAGATGGGTTGTTTTCCACTGGTTTGGGACTCATCTCTACACCTCTGCAACACTTAACCACTCAAAAAAACAACAGAAGTCTCCGTAGGTTATGGATTTTACTTTGAGAGTAGAGCGCCCAAATTCATTTTATTCTAGTGAATAGCTGAAAAACACAAGATGTGGAATCTATGGATTAGTCCTAGGGAGAATAGCCCACTAATAAAGTAGCAAGTTACAGTTTGAAGACTGCTTTCTAAAGGATTATTACTGTGCAGAGCATGGTTTGGATTCAGCAGTTAATACCAGACATCCCAACTTGCTTACATGTTGCTGCAGGTGTTTATTTGTCACTCTGTCCTCCTTCCTTTGCAGGTGTTGGCACAGCAGCACAGAATTTGGCTCCCCGTCCACCTGTAGCTGCCCCTGCTCCCAGAGCTGTCCCTCCTTACAAATATGCCTCAAGTGTCCGCAGCCCACACCCAGGTGTCCAACCTCTGCAGGTAACTCCAGGGGCTGAGCTGGGAAGTCCCTGCAGTTACTTCAGGGGGCAGGTTTCACATGCAACTAAAGTCTTTTTATAGAAACTTAAGCGACTTTTATAACCCAGACAGGCATAATTTGGAATTTAGAAACCTGGCAGTTGTGCCTTTGCCAGGGGCACGCTGATTGGTTTATCTGTCTTGTGCTCCCACGCCCTTTTTTGCCCAGGTTTCCTGTAAGGATATTTTTCTTGCTTCTTTGTTCCCATTTTGCAACCATTTATTCTCTCTCTTTGCCAAGTCCTCACCAGAGTATCACTGAAAGCACAGTTTGCTTCTCCCACAAACCCTCTGCATTGTGAAAAAGGCAGGAGTGGATGTTTCTCTTTCTCAGTGTCTCACAATGTTTGATCCTGTTTTTGTAAGGTTTACAGTGCCCATGTATGACATTATGGGGTTTTGAGCTCAGAACTTGCAGGGAGCATGTTTGTGAACCAAGGGCACCTTACCTGTCCTTCTCTGGAAATTAAGTGTGCTGTGGGCTTGACAAAGATTGTGTTTTAGGAGGGAATACCTTAGTATTGTCTAAATATGAAGGAATCAGCCTGTTGCCTATTTCAGAACCCTCATGTCTGTCCTTTATAGGCACCTCAGCCCGCAGTGCATGTGCAGGGCCAGGAGCCACTGACAGCCTCCATGCTGGCTGCTGCCCCTCCCCAGGAGCAGAAACAGATGCTGGGTAAGTGAAACTCCAGTGCTCACAGATGACTTCCCATCTGGAAATCCCCTCAGATCTCAAAAATTACTCGTTTTAATCGAAACTCCTCTGAACTCCTTTTCCCCTCAGGAGAACGTTTGTTCCCTCTGATCCAAGCTATGCACCCCAGCCTCGCTGGGAAGATCACAGGAATGCTGCTAGAGATTGACAACTCCGAGCTGCTGCACATGCTGGAGTCTCCGGAGTCGCTCCGGTCGAAGGTAAACGGGTGTGTTCCCTTGGGTGGGGTGGCTCTGGGGGGCTCGGAGGGAGAAGGTCTCACTGGGTTTGTCTCCCCGAGGTGGAGGAGGCCGTGGCCGTGTTGCAGGCTCACCAAGCCAAGAAAGAAGCTGCCCAGAAAGTGGGTGTGGTTGCTGCTACCTCTTGAACCAGGATGACTGGTGAGTGTCTCCGTCCTCAGCTTCACTTAGAAGCTTCCAGAATCAGTAAATAAAACATGATTTTTAGTGACCAATCCAGTCTGGAGGCCCCGTGCAGGGCCGTGTCCAGCACTTGTCTGATTTTAGTCCCCTCTTTATAAACAAACAAAAAACTCCTAATGTAGTTTCTCCCTACAGAATCCTTATGTAAAACTTAATGTTCTTCACATACCTTATTTTATTTAAGCATCAGAAAGCTGTTGTATAAGTCCCTGAAGTGTTCCTTGCAGCTGACATGTCCAGGAAGGACTAAAGCTTTGGGATGAGTCCTGTGGAACTGCTGATGTGGGAAATGGGAGACACACAAGGTGCTCTAGGGACTTTGAGGCTAAACAGGCTGTTAATGCCCATTCCTTATCCTGAAAACCATCTGCCTTCAGTATCTGTTATAAAGTGCTGGTGTTGGGAGTGTCATTTCAGGGCACAGGTTTGTTCACACAAATGGTGTCACCTGTATTTGGAGCTGGCTCTCGTTTAACTTCTGAAGAAGGTTTTTGATTCTTCAGATGCCTGCTCTTGCTTATGATGATCCATTTTCCTGTGGATTGTCTGGAATTGACATCCCCGGAACTTTTTGTGAAGCTGTTGTAGTCACGTCACAACTCAAACTGGTGAAGAATGATCAGGATTCTTATTTTCATCCGTATATTTCTCAGAGGCTCCGGTCACTGGCTGATTTAGTAAAGAATTTGAGTTTCTTGTGGAGAATTGCAATTTCTGATCATCTGACAACTGTGAACAGCTTCTCCATACCTTCCAAATTATATTGCAGTCCTCATGGTTTGTAGTTCAGGAATGTTCCCTAGCCTGGAGCAGGGATGCTGCGTGTGAGTAACTATCTCCCCTTTTTCCTATAGGATACAAAGAAGCCAAATAGCCCCTTCCTAGACATCAGCTGAAGATGTTTGAAGATCCTTCACTGTCCTGCAGATCTCAATGCCATGCATCATATCACATAGTTATATTGCATTTTGTAAATTAATCTTCAAGATCTTATTTAAAAAGCCAACTCTGAAGCTCGAGGTTTCCAAAACCAGAATGGGGGTTCCTTTGTCAGAACAGAGCTACCCCTTGTGTCTTCTAAGGAGGACGTTGAGGATTTTAGGCTGGAAGTATTTTTGTGGGTTTGCGTTTAATTGAACAATCCAGTTTGGAAAGTTTGGGAAACATTTATCAATAAAGGAATAAACTTGCTCTGTGCTTGTTGTCATTTCTCTCTATTTGATAAATTAACGTGGTGTGGTTTTGTGAAATTAAACTGATGGGCAGTTATCAAGTGGTGAATATATTAAATTGGGGTTTGAGTTATTCTGCTTGTTAATTTTGGATGATGAGTGTTTTGAGGCAGCTGTGTTAAAATTATGCCTCGGGCAATGTATGAAAGGGTGATGTCTGTAAGCAGTGATCTAAGAGAAGAGTTTGGGAGGTATTTTCATGTGAAGAGTACAAGGGTTTGGGCTTCCTTTTTTGCTGTCTGCTCTTAAGGAAAAGCTCTGCTGTTCTTTGTTTAGATTTCCAAATTTTCAGCTGGGTGCTCAATGGTTCTGGTGCTACTTTATACACTAAAGGTGGCTGCGTTTTGGTGCTGGGGCCCATAAGTGCTTTGCAAGCTGTTCTGGGTGATCCTTTGGGATAATAAAAAGCATTATGGAAATATACTTTAATTCTGACAGAAAGAACCACGGAACCCCTGAGGTTGGAGGAGACCTCCAGGATCATCAAGTTCAACTCCTTGTTCAGGGTGGAGGTGAACACGTTGGCTCAGGGGGATGGGCAGAGCTGGTGACCTGTGTGCCCTCACACTTGTTTCTCCATGAATGCCTTGAAATGCTGTATCAGAACCTCCCGTGATCCTGTGGTGGGGACCAGCCTGCGAGCACCCACCCAGATGTGCAAGTACCCATCCAGATGTGTGAGCACACGTCCAGAGGTGGATGCACCTACTAATACTTCATCTGGACCAGCAGCTGAACTGCACCATCTGACCCAAACACCCTCAAACCCAGCCATGCTCATCCCCAAACCCAGTTCTCCATCAGGACCCACCGGGCTCCTACTGCTCCCCAAGACCCTCAGTGTCCCCCTGGGTCTGTCCTTTTGGGTGGCACTGACCAGGGACTGCAGGATGGCGTGGTTGGTGGCGTTCATGCAGGAGTCCAGGGGGAAGGCACACTCCCCCTCGCAGTAACAGGAAAAAGCACCTCAGGAAAAGCCTGGAAGCTGGTGGGCGGCACGTGCCAGGGAGGCAGCTTCCCGGGAGCTCTCGCAGGGAAATCCCCCGCGGAACCCGCCGCCCGCACCGCCCATCCTTCGCTCCCGAGGGCGGGGCGATGGCGCCGTTCCGGGGCGGGTCCCGTCCCGACCCGTTCCGGGGGCACCGGGGCGCGATGGCGGCCACCAAGCGGGTGCTGTACGTGGGTGAGTGGCGGGGCCGGGGGTGCCCCGAGCGGGGCCGGCGGTGCCCGGCGCTGCCCGGTGACCGCTGCCCGGTGCCCCGCAGGCGGGCTGGCCGAGGAGGTGGACGAGAAGGTGCTGCACGCCGCCTTCATCCCCTTCGGAGACATCACCGACATCCAGATCCCGCTGGACTACGAGACGGGTGCGTGCTGGCAGGGCTGGGCACAGCGGGGCATCCCCGGCGTGCGGTTTCCCCTGGGATGGGATGGGATGGGATGGGATGGGACCCCCGTCGCTCCGTGGGACCGGTGTGTCTGTGCTGCCCGTGACCCTCTCGCTTCTCTCCCTCCAGAAAAGCACCGGGGATTCGCCTTCGTGGAGTTTGAGCTGGCGGAGGTGAGGAAGGGGCAAATGCTGGGGCTGCTCCGGGCTTTTCCTCCCCTAGGGTTTTCGGATGGATCCTCTTCCCTTTGGAGACAGTCCATGGAAGCGGGTGGGGCTTATACCTACCACAGCATTGAATCACTCTCCGGCAGTGGGAGATGTTGTTCTGCTCTTCCAAGTTCCTGCTTTTCCAAGTTCCCGCTTTTCCCATTTTCTTTTGGGTTGAAGCTACTGCTGGCCCGAACCCCTCCCTGCCATCGTCCCTGGGTGGGTTTCTTGGCTTAGTGGGCAGCATGGGCTGTCATATATTTGTGTTCTTATGATCTGTCCTGGGTTTCATGCACAGATCTCTCCTCCTCTCCCATGTGCTGGTGTCAACAATAAAGCATCTTAAATAAAATGGATTTACTGGGTTGTTGGAAGATGAGACCCAGATCCTGGTTTGGATATGGCTCTTGGAAGATCCATCAGCCCTGGGGCAGATGAGGTTTAGGAAAATCTGGCAGCCTTTTCTGTAATGAAGTGCTGGGGCATGTCTATGCTTAGCCTTGCTTTTAAAGGGAGAGAAGAAAGGATAATAATTATTTTATTTTGATTTCTTGGCAGGATGCAGCGGCAGCAATCGACAACATGGTATGGACCCTGTTCCCACTCGCCCTCAGAGACCTGTGGCTTTGCTGCCCTCTGTGCTGTGGGCTGCAGAGAGAACACAAGCTCTGTCCTCCTCTGACCTCTGTGGGGATTTTGGGGGGCATGGTGATTTTATACCTTTGGGTGGGCTTTGTTGTGCTTTTTTTTCCCTCTGCAGAATGAGTCTGAGCTCTTTGGCAGGACCATCCGTGTGAACTTGGCCAAACCCATGCGAATTAAAGAAGGATCATCCAGGCCTGGTGAGTTGGTGCCTGGGAGGGGGAGAACATCCCTGTGGATATTCAGAGCTTTGTTCGTAAACTCAGGTGTGGCCTTTTGGATCAGTTCCTGTGCTCTGACTTTTCCTTTTGCTGTCACAGTGTGGTCAGATGACGAGTGGCTGAAGAAGTTTTCAGGGAAGACTTTGGAGGAGAACAAAGAGGAGGGAGGAACAGAGGCCCCCAAACCAGAGGCACAAGAGGTAGGAAAAACAATCCCAGCCATTTGTATCCCCACTATTCCAAAGGCTGAGAGCGTGAGACTGGCCATCTCTGGAGGCACAGCAGAGGAGTGTCATCAAAACTTGCTTTTGTTTCTTTTCCTGCCCAGGATGAGCCTCCTGCCAAGAAATCCCGGGTCAACCCTCAGGTTTACATGGACATCAAGATTGGGAACAAACCCGCGGGGCGGCTGCGGATCCTCCTGCGCTCGGATGTGGTGCCCATGACCGCAGGTGGGGAGAAGGTTCTGCCTCCCCGCCGTGGTGGCTTCCAGCAGTGTCACAGCTCTCACCTCTCTCCCCTTTGCCCCCCCTACAGAGAATTTCCGCTGCCTCTGCACCCACGAGAAAGGATTTGGCTTCAAAGGGAGCAGCTTCCACCGCGTCATCCCCCAGTTCATGTGCCAGGCCGGCGACTTCACCAACCACAACGGCACCGGAGGCAAATCCATCTACGGGAAGAAGTTTGATGATGAAAACTTCATTCTCAAACACACAGGGCCAGGTAAAGCCCATCTCCAGGCAGGAACAGGAGAGAAAATCGTTTAATATCATCTAGGGGCCGCATTTGGGCTGTTTTGTCTTGCGCCACGTTGGTAGTACTGGCCCTGAATTATGATCTACGTTGGCCACATGCGTCTGCCACCGTGTGATCTGCCCTGGTCAGCCTCTCGTGTGTCACCAAGCAGAAATGCCTCGTTCCCTCTCCAACCACACAGTTAATTTCCAGTGTTACATAATGAAAAAATAATTTCAAAGCTGCTTTCCTGTTCTGTTTTAAAGGAGGAATGTCACAGCGTGACTATGAAAAGTGGGAACAGGCAAGCAGGTTTATCTCCCTACAAACATCTTTGCTGTTACTGCAGCTAAAAATAGCTAAGCAGCTTCTACCCCTTTCCATCTTTCATGCTTGCAAGTGTTTGTCAACATAATTGGTTTCCAGTAGTTTCTGTGGATTTTGATATTCAGAAGCTCTCCTAAATCCAGGAGCATTTTGCAGGAAATGGGAGTGGGTCTGGGTCAAAGTAGCAGCTTGTGCTGGAATCTGTCACTCCCTTCTCAGCCATAACACCGCACTCTTTGATCCCAGGGATGGTGTCGATGGCAAACTCTGGCCCAAACACCAACGGCTCCCAGTTCTTCATCACCTGTGATAAAACAGACTGGCTGGACGGGAAGCACGTGGTGTTCGGGGAGGTGACGGAGGGCATGGACGTGGTGCGGGAGATCGAGGTAGGTGCTGGTCAGCAGGGTGGTCTGGGCACAGCTGACCCTCTTCCTGCCCTTAATTAAGAGCTTGATGCCCTTAATTGCTGCTGGTTTTTTCTCCAAGGCTCAGGGCACCAAAGATGGGAAGCCGAAGCAGAAGGTGATCATCTCGGACTGCGGGGAGTGCCCGTGAGCTCGGCTCTTGGAGGGGCTGGATGGGGCGAGCCTGGCCAGGAGGGACAGGGAACCAGCTGGAATGGGACAGCCCAGCAACTCCCCAGCAGCGCCCAGTCCTGGCTTCTGTTGAAATTCCCCTGCAAAACTTGGAGGGAAGGTGCCTGAGGGCAGTGCTGAGGGGTCCGACCTTCCCGGGATAAATCCCTTCCCAGCCCGCGCCGCCCAAGCAGGGCAGGGCTGGTCCTGCTGCCGTGTTCCAGAAAGACTTTATGTTTGGGAAAAATAAAAGCTAGTTTTAAAAATACTGAGGACCTGGTTTTCAGACTTGTCTCTGTGTGAGACTGGTCTTTGTTTTTCAGCAAAAATGCCTTCTTTTTTTTTTTTTTTTCCTTCTGTCCTTGTCTTTATTAATCCCGTGCCTAAATCCGGGCTCCAGGGAAAGCTACCTGTGCCAGGGAAAGAGCTGAGCCGAATCTCTCATGCTTATTCCACAGCAGGATCTTGTGGAGGTGTTTTTGGCATATCCCTGGCTTTGTAGTGTCCTTTTCCATCAGCAGAGGGAGGCAGGTCCCTGGCTGGCAGCCTTCCTGCTGGAAAGCCAGCCTGGTCCAGCTCCATCCCCATCCCAGAGGGAGGGTGTTTACTGGGATGTGTAAGAGGGAAAACATGGTCAGGAAACACCAGGAAATGAAAGAGCCCTTTGGGTGATGAAGGAAAAAAAAAAAAAACAAAGTGATGAGGCTGTAGGAAGGGGTTTAATTTCCAAACTCCAGTTTGAAGAGTAGGATAATCACGTGGATTTATAGTTCCTGTGGTGGCAGCTCTGGCTGTGCACCAAAAAGGAGAACACAGCGGTGGGAAGTGATGGATTTGGGGTTTCCTATGAAATTATGGCACTGGGGGGGAGGAAGGGGTGTGTGGGTTTGAGCATGTGCAGGTGTTGTCAAGAGGGATGAGGCAGCTGGGACAGAGAGGAGGGTCAGCTGTGAGGGGATGGGTTGATCTTTTGAGGAGCTTGTGTCATTGGGGGTTTTTGGTTTTGCCAGGTCGGGGGTGTTGCTTTTCCATAAGAAAAACTGGGTTGCTTTTATTCACTTGCTGGCTTTCCACAGTGTCTGGGGGTCCTGCATTGCCCTAAAACTGGAACAAGGTGAGACACAGGCACTCAGACGTGATTCCAAACAGACTAACCAGTCCAGCTTTTCCCTTCCTTGCTCTCTTCTTTCTGATGTTTAAATCTCAAATTTTTGAAGACAGCCCTTGCAGGGCCTGAACCAGGGAGAGAGCCCAGAGTGATGGAAGCCCTGGGTGTTTTCTCTCTGCAGAAATCACGAGGTCAGACAGAGCTATGATCACATCCCAAGCTGGATTTCATGTGGAATTAGATACCCAAAGAAGCAACACCTTTGCTTGGGAAGCTGGGCATTGACTACGAGCAGATCTTTCTTGTTTTGGTGGGTTTATTGGGATTTTTTTTCCAGGTTCATTATTTGTTTAGTGACACAAGGTTCCCCCGGGTATCTGAGCTGAGAACCAGGACGGGCCTTTTCCTTTTAAAATCAGAGCAAATAAATAATTTAATTGTACAAATAGCCCAGGGAAGCTGCCCGGGGCAGTCACAGCCCTTTTAGGAGCCCACGGGAAGCATCCACTGGTGAGCACAGCCTGACCTAAAACTCACATCAGGGCTCATTTTCAAGCAAATAGGTACAATTTTAGCCGATTCTGAGTATTTTTTCATTGCGAAATGTCCTCCAAACAGAGCACTGTTGTGCTGTGACATTAAAAAAGAAAGAGCAAGAGAAACTCCGTGTTTACTTTCCAAACTAGGCGTTTATTTTATAACAGTGCCGTAGCTCAATATGGATATTTTATTTTTTTTCCAAGTGGCTGAGTTTGGTGAACTTTAGGTAAACAGGAGCGGGTTAGTCAGCCAGCTACTTAATTGGCTGATGATATTTTCATTAAGGGAATTAAAAGCACTGGGTAGAGGTGGGTTAGTTAGAAATACACAGCTAGAAACAGCTCAATCCCAGAGCAACTCAGATGCTGCCTCCCTTGTCCTAATTACCCTTAAGCCCAAACTGCTTCCACCAGAGACTGCAGCAGCATGAGGGGAAAACACATCAGCCACAGACAAACCAGACACAGAACCAGCCACAAATCCTCTCTTTCCTATATATATATATATATGCTTGTATATATCTATGGGTCTCATTAAGCAGGGTAAGAGAATAGAAGTTTTATATTATTTACATCCACTTCTAGGAAGGGGTGGGAGGGATTTATTTTTATTATTATTTATTATTATTATTATTATTAATGGACTTTTGGCTCTGATGCAGCCCATGAAACTCCTCTTCCACACACGCAGCAGAAACCCAGTGTCACATTGCTCTGGTGGGGGTGGGATGGGACGTTCAGGGATGGAGGTGGGATGTTCAGGGATGGGGTTGGGATGGGATGTTTGAGGATGGGGCATTCAGAGGTGGGGATGGGATGTTCAGGGATGGGGATGGGACCTGTCCATCAGTGGCAGCCACACGATTTCACCACCATGTTGCGATGCTTCTTGAGGATGACGTTGTTGTTGCTGTCGTAGTAGAGGACAGAGGTGGCACTGAGCTTGGTGGGGGCACAGCACGCCTTGGGCACGGCCTCAGGCTTCATCAGGTGGACCTGGGGGAGGGATGCAGCAAACGTGGCTCCAGGCAAAAGAAAAAAGCATCAAACCGACTCCTAGCTGCAAAAATCCTGGGTGAATGGGGAGATTATTCCCAGCGTTTTGCAAAAATATTTATCCTGAACTCCGGGCAGTCGCTGCTGCAGTTTATATTGGAGCAGGGCTCAAGGCACTGCATGGGCCAGGCAGCCCCTTCATTAATTTGGGACTTCAGGGCCCTTTTTTCTCACAAAAATAGACAAATGACTAAAAAAAGAACATAAATCAGGGCAGCGTGGGTCAGGCTCCGGTGTGGGCGGGGGGTGCTGCAATAAGAGATCCTCCACCCCGAATTTAACGTCTTCCACTAAAATCTTAAATACACAACACCTCTCTGAACACAAGTCCCCTTCAGCTCGTTCAGCCCCCGCTCAGGACAGGCGTTATCCCGGGATTTTGCTGTACAGCATCAGCCGGAGGCTCCCGGGCTGCCGGACGCGCGGAGCCCTCGCTGGCTTCACCCGACATGTGCGATTAATTTATGGCAGGGGCAGCCGAGCTCTCCCAGCTCGGAAGTCCGGTGTTTTTGCTGTCAAACCCTGCTATTTGCAGCACAGGCTGGGGCTGGCACAGCTCCACGGCCGCCTTTGCCCTGGCGCTTCCCAGAAGGGCCGGATCCGGGCGCCAGGTGATTCACATCCTGCCCAAAACGGCTCCGTTTTGGGAAGAGCGTTGGGTTTAGGGGCGATGGGTGGGTGTAGAGGGGAAGGGGGCCCCTCCCCACCGCTGCCAGGATCCTTCCCAGCCCCGGATGGGCCCTGGAAGCTTCGTTAATGTCAAAATTAAACCCCGCCAGGCGACACCTTCAAAGGCTCGGCCGAGGGCTCGGCGCTCCCTGTAATTAACCGCGAGCACCGGAGCCGGTGTGGCTCTGCCATTGGGAAACCAAACACTCACAGGGCAGGAAATTCCAGAAATTAAACCACTGGCTGGGATGCGGGGTGGGTTTGGGAAAAGAGGGACACTAAAGCTTTTCCTGCTTGGAATATGCTGAGCCCAGCGTTTGGGTGCTGAGCCGCAGCGGTGCTTTCCAGGGCTGTGGATAAACCCTCGGGCACGGCTGACACGGAGCCTTTCCAGGGAGGAGTGGGGGCCTTGGTGAGCCCTGGGCTTGTCCCTGCTCCTGAGCCCACTGCCAGGGGAGGGGGAAATTAATCTGTCAGAAATCATCTGTTTTGTCCCAGCTGCTGTTAAACTGGAGCAGGATCGTGTCAGTCAGAAAACCAAGAGACGGAGGAGCTCTGGAATTACAAAATCCCCCTGTTACACCCCTCTGGCTCAGGGGGATGGGCAGAGCTGGTGACCTGTGTGCCCTCACACTTGTTTCTCCATGAATGCCTTGAAATGCTGTATCAGAACCTCCCGTGATCCTGTGGTGGGGACCAGCCTGCGAGCACCCATCCAGATGTGCAAGTACCCATCCAGATGTGTGAGCACACGTCCAGAGGTGGATGCACCTACTAATACTTCATCTGGACCAGCAGCTGAACTGCACCATCTGACCCAAACACCCTCAAACCCAGCCATGCTCATCCCAAAACCCTGTTCTCCATCAGGACCCACCAGGCTTCTACTGCTCCCCAAGACCCTTAATGTCCCCCTGGGTCTGTCCTTTTGGGTGGCACTGACCAGGGACTGCAGGATGGCGTGGTTGGTGGCGTTCATGCAGGAGTCCAGGGGGAAGGCACACTCCCCCTCGCAGTAATAGGCTGAGTATCCCTGCGGAGCGATCACCCAGTCCTGCAAAAAAAAGGGATTACATTGAGGGCTTCAGCTTCCTATGCCCCTTCCTCCATTCCCCACCTGCACAAACAACTCAACCACCTCCTCCCCGGGTGGCCCTGCCAGTAGCAAGGGTTTATTTTGATTTTTTGGACTGAGCCATGAGTTGCTCAAGGTCAGCAAAGGGGTTTGGGGTTGTGGCAGTTCATGTTTGCCTTCCCAGCTCTCGGGATGGCTTCATGGGCAGGAGAATCTGGACTGGGAAGGAGCCCAGGACAGAGGAATGGGATGATGGGGGTTTTTTTGTTTGTTTGTTTGTTTTTGAGGTTTTTTTTTTGCATTTACTTCTCCCAGTAGACAAGTACCAGCCAGCCGAGGTCCTGAAAGCTGACGTAGAGCTCGTGGCGCCGGCAGACCTGCCGCCTGTCCGCGGCGTGGACGTCATCTGTGGGAGAAGGGGACAGGGAACATCAGCCCTGGCATCCCCCATCCCACCCCTCACTGCAGCCATCCCCTCTCCAGGGAGGGATACAGCCCAAATGACAGGAGTTAGTCCAGGACAACCAAAGGAGAGGAGCCTCTGCTGCTGCACGAAGGGAAAAGGAGCTTCAGACTGGTCTATAATTTGATATTCCAACATTGGGGTGAAGGAATTTGGCCTTGGAAGGGTTATATCATAGCTTTGCTCATAGAGAAGATGACTTTGGGAGTTTCCCAAATTCAGTGGGTTCAGGAGAGCTGGAGCTTCCCGCTCCCCTCCTGCCTGAGCACCTTCCGGGGTGATGACACCTTCCCAGGCTGGCTTCAAAGCCAAGGGCACTAGGGCAAAAATTCCAATATTCAGGAAACACCTTTTCCTTGGGGGCAACCAACCCAAACCCTCTGCATCTCCCTAACTGCAAACAACCCAATCCTAAAAAGCCCGAGCTCTCTGCTCTGCTTCCCTTGAGCCCAAAAACTGGGATTTCCAGCAGCTGAAGGTGCTGACAGCAGATCCCTCGTGGCAGCAGCAGAGCCTGGTGTTTTCCACAGGGATCGCTCCTCCCCCCAGCAAAGCTCTTACCAAAAATTCCCGGGAGCTTGTTTGGATGTGGGAGGTCGTTGGTCTTCTTGGGCTGCCGCCTCCTCGGGGGTTTGGCCGCTCGTGTGACACGGGCAGGGCTGGGACTCGCCCGGAAAAACGTCACCATGAAGGGCTGCTTGGAGCGGGGCCCCCGGCGCCCCAACAGCCCCGCTGAGCCCGGATCGACGCTGTGCCCTGCAGGGACAGGACCAGGCGTGGGTTTGCTCCCAGAACGAACTCATTTTGTTAAAGCAAGGAGTCAAAACAGAAGAAATTTGCAGTGGAGAGCTGTGGTTTCGGCACCCCAAGGGGTTTGAAGCCCGGAGGTGGTACAGCCACGCACCCACCACCACATCACGGCCACACAGAGCGATTCAAGGATTAAAACCAAGTGATCAGTTTGCCCCTTCTCCCCTGGGGAGGAAAGCTGGGAGGGGAAGGGAATGGAGGGAGCATTCCCAGCTGCGATTGCTGGCCCCATGGGAGTGGAGATGCTCTGAGTGTGCCTGTGCACCTGCAAAAGGCAGCGTGGGACCAGAGCTGATCCCACGGGGAAAAGAGGGTTAATCCTCTGGCACACACACAGCAGGATCCCTCCGGATAGGGAGTTCATTAAGTGTTAATGGGGTTAATTACAGTCCACCCCATTAGCATGAAGCCTTTGGAAGGGTTTTCCATCCAGGTTTGCCTGCAAACCCAGACTTCTGGCACCTGTGGGTTCTCTGTCACAGCAGGGAATTTAAAATTGCAGTGGGACAAACCCTAACATCACATCCCATGGCACCGAGTGGGGAAGACTCCAGTTCTTGGGAATTTGGCCTCGAATGCTTGCAGGCAGGTTCATCAAACTCACCATCATCTGTCTCCACGTAGAGCCTCAGCCCCAGGTTGTATTTCTGATCCAGTAACCAGTGGTTGCTGGCAGCTGTGACGTCAAACACCAGCCAACCCTCTGTCCCGGCACGCAGGTCCTGGACATCCAGCAGGAACAGGTCAGATTCCCTGCAGAAACAAGGGGGGAAAGAGCAGGTGAGTAACAGCACCCAAAGGACACCAGCACCAGCAATAATTCTTGGAAATTACTGCTTGGTGCCTGTGTCCAGACAGGCCCTGGCACAGCAGGGTCAGGTCAGTAGCTCTTGATGCCGCCGGCTGTGCTGGACACGATGGTGGCATCCTGGAAAATGCACTCTCCCTGCCCTGGCCAAAATATCAGGGTGTGACATTTCCCCGTTGGAAACTTTGGGAACAGCTGATTGTGGCAGTGCCACTTCCCTTGGTGTTTTTATGGTAGTGGGAAGGGAAAGTGCTGGAGCCGGTTCTTGTGCAGGTTCCCATTCCTGTCTCCATCCCCACCATCTTCACCCCTGTTCCCACCCCTTCATTCCCATCCCCAATCCCATCCCCACCATCTTCATCCGCATCCTTATCCCCATTCCCATCCCCACAATTTTCATTCCCATTCCCATCTTTTTTATTCCCATATCCATTCCCATCCCCTTTATTCCCATATCCATTTCCATCCCCATCTTCTCCATTCCCATCCTCATCCCCATTCCCATCATTTTCACTCCTATTCCCTTCTTCTTCATTCCCACACCCATTCCTATCCTTATCATCTTCATTCCCATTCCCATCCTCACCCCCATCTTCTTTATTCCCATACCTATTCCCATACCCACCTTCTTCACTGGAATGGGCTGCCCAGGGAGGGGGTGGATTCACCATCCCTGGAGGTTTTTCAGATGAGACTGGATGTGGCATCAGTGCCACGGCCTGGGAACCACGGCAGGGTTGGATCTTGACGATCTGGGAGGTCTTTTCCAACCTGGTTGATTCTGTGATTCTATGATTCTATGACTCCCATCCCCATCTCCATCGTTCCCATTCCCATCCCCGCTCCCGTCCTCAGCCCCTCACCTGTTGGAGTGCCCTGCAGCCACCTCGTAGATGCTGATGTGCAGGCTGTTGTTGCCGTGCCGGGACGTCCCCCGGGCCTTGTAGATGCGGAACTCGGCGGCCGTGACGGACTCGCCCGCGGGCACCTGGGTCAGGTCGAACCTGAACTCCTTCCAGTACGGCTTCGGAGAGAACATGTCCCGGTCCTGCTCCACTGCAGAGCAAAGGGCTCAGGGAGGGCTCTGCCAGACCCCAGCAGGCTGATCCAAGCCTTCACCCCCCTCCCACTGAGTCCCCTCCAACTTCCTTGTCCCCACTTTGCAGACAAACCTGCTGGCTCTGAGCCTTCACCCCCCCACCCCGAGCTCTTGGCTGCAAATTCATCTCTCTCCTCTCCCAAGAGTTTTAATCTTGATGCATCCTGCCCCCCCCCCCTATTTTTGCAGCCCCCAACTTTATTTTGCTGTAGACCCACCAGCCTCCCAGCCTTTTTCCTTTATTAGTAATTAAAATTAAAATTAAAAGCACAAGTGTTGGTTGTGGGAGGAGCACAGAGAAGCTGCCACTCGTGCCATGGTTTAGGAGCTGCAGCCTTTTGTGCTGAAAAACACACACAAAAAAAAATTGAGGTTTTGGGGTCAGCAGGACCATCTGGAGCAGGAATTGGGGTTTTCCAAACTTTTGTTGCAGCAGGACAGGGCTCTCCAGGGCCATTGCTGGGTACCACAAGTCCTCCCTTGCCCTCATGCTTGGGGCTGCTGAAATAGGAGGACTTTCAGCCTATGCAGGATTGTAAGGTCACTTCTCTGTAAAAATAAAACCTCCCTTTTTACTAGAAACACCTTATTTTTGCATCAATCCATTGCATGCTGGGAAAGAAAAAAATCTGCTGATTTGATTTTTTAAGTCCATAAAGAACAACCCAATGTCTTTCTTTGCAGTAATGCAGCCCCACACAGTTTCTCTAATATGTAATTATTTGCTTCAAATTGTCCTTTAAAAATATTCCAATCTGCCTTGTCTCAATATAATTAAAGTATATGATTAAATATGATTCAATATGACTAAAGCTTCTCCTGCTTCAGGCACAAAAGCAACGTAATCCATCCAACCTGGTGCGTACTTTCAAGAGCAAACCAACCAAATAAATAACTAAATAAAGATGCACGTTTTAAATCCATTTTTTAACCAATTCCAGGGGAGAAATATTCCAAATTTAACTCCCCATAAAGTAGTTGTTCCCATTCACATGGGGGGAGCAGCGCGACGCATCTCTCCAAACCCAATGCTGAGATTTCACTTGCTTACCCACAGGTCTTTTTTTTTTTTTTGCTGCTTCTTCTTCTTTTTTCCTTTTTTTTTCCCCCCCTCTTTTTTTTTTTTTTTTCAAATCCCACATTCCCTCCAGCTACTGGCCTCACCACAAGCTATGTTATAAAAAAAGCCCGGGGCCAGGCGGGCAGGGCGGATGCGGAGAACGCTTCCTGCTCCGGCGGGGCGGCTGCCAGCTGTGGCAGGAGGATGCTGTGGGGAGCTGCATCCAGCCCGTGCACCCCTTGGAGGGGGGACACACCAGCCCCCCAAACCCTCAGGCTCTTCCCTCTTTTCCATTCCTTCCACCAACCCAGCGCTGATGGTTTTACGCTCCCGGATCGTTCAGCGGTGCTGCCGAAGCCGCCGGTGCCTCACGGATGTTACAAAATCCCTAAATCCCCCCCCAAAACACAACCAAAGGAATCGCCTCTCTTTTTTTTTGGCACTGATAAACCCTCAGTGGGATGTCCCATGGTCGGTCCAGGGGATGCCCAGGTACAGAGTGGTGCCCCCTTGGGTATTTTCAGTCGCCTGGGTGCTCGGGTCACCCCTCTGCTCTGAAGATCCTCACCGGGATCTTCACAGGTGAGCACCTTCAGCAAAGCAATGCTGCAGATGGGCCCTCACCCAGGAATGGGCAGAGGGATTTTTCTGTGGAGCCAAGGAGGTCACAGAGACCCCACACCACAGAAAAAGCCCCCAGGGTGATTTTTGGCCCCGGAGAAGAGTGAAAACCTTTGTTAGAGCAGAAGTTTGTTATGAAAACTTCCCATCAGTGTGCTGTGGAGGTGATGGAGGGGTCCAGGGATGAAGGGAGAGGAGGGGAGCTGGTGGGAGGGAAGCCCAGGAACACCTGGTCAGTAAGAGAAATGCTATAGGGGATGCAAATAGATAAGTTTCTTGATGAACCAAATAAGATGGATTTAATATCAATATGTCTAGTGTTTGTGATGAGAGACTGGGAGGAACCCCTGAATACTCTGCCCCTTCATGGAGAGGAAGAGGGAAAACCCTTGGAGGGGCAGGACCAAGGAAGAAGCATCCCCTCCTGTGCAGACATCAGGATAGGATCAGATGCAAACAGCAGGTTAGAGGGAGTTTAATATCACCGTGTTTCCTGCTACATTATAAACTCCTGTGAAATTACAACCCCCAAAGCACCCAGTGGGTGCCTAAGTAGAACAGTGGGTGCTAAAATGCTGCTGGGGGTGTGCTGGAGGTGCCCCCCCGGCTCGCAGGGAGCCTGTTGGGAACCTGCTATTGATTCGAGGCGGGTTGGCTCAGCCACACCACCAACCCTCAATTATCTGTGGGCGGATTATCCGGATTGCGGATGAGACACACTAAAAAAGCCCAGCCCAAGTGCTTTGCTCTCCTTGCCCCCTCCTTTGGCATTTACTGTCTCATCCCAAAGAGCTGCCGTGTCTTTCCCTAGAGCTGAATGTCATCACAAAGTCGAATATGTGCTCCCACCACCCCCCAAAAAACACTATAAAAATTACTTATAAACGGCCCTGGGGTCATTCCTCTGGCAGGGGATACCCAGCTTGATCTAGACTGAGCCTCACTGTCTCCCAGCTCCTGATCCCTTCCCAGATCCCACCCTTCCTCCTGCTCCCCAGGTTATTCTTAGCTGCACGTTTTCATTGTAAACTTTCCCTGTTTCTATAAACTGCACATCAGTTGTAATTACTGGTCCTGGCTGCTCCCGATGGTCCCCATGATCATTTCAGATGCTAAATTAAAAGGAAATGCCAGGATATTCAACCACATCAAATGCTCAGGATCCCAAAATAGGTTTAAAAGAGATGCAGGGAAGATGCTGTCCTTTGCTTACAAGGAGGAAAAAATAAGCTCCGAAGGTTTTCTGAAGTGAGGAGAGATTTAGGATTTATCCTGAGTGCTATGAAATGAATCCAGGCTCCCAGTTTGTCTCAGGAGTGCTTCCTCCATCCTCCTGGGATGAACACTGGGAGCTGCAGGACATGGGGCTCAGAACTGGACACTCCCAGTCCGGCTTCTTGTGGCTGGGAGACTTCTTTGGCCACTGCTGCATCCCCCCTCGCTCCCTGAGCCCTACACTCAGCCAGCTGGGAGCTCTGTGTCACGGGTGGGTCCCAGGGACTTTATTTGCAAAGCTTTCCCCATTAAAACACACATGGAGGGTGTGTACAGAGCACTGACACCTTGGCACGGGCTGCCAGAAAACACTGCCCTGCGTCCCTCGGATGGATGCCCAGAGGAGGAGGCTCAAATGGCTGCAAAATGAAGCCAGGAGTGGGGAAAATCCTGACCCAGCTGCTGACAGCAGCTGGATTTCAGTGGTAATGGTGTGGGGGCGAGGGTAAGTGGCCGGCAGCGGGTGATGATCTTCCAGCGTGGAGAGTGGAGCAGCACCTCAACTCCTAAAATTCAATTGAAGTGGCTGCTGTGAGCTCCCACCCCACACTAATGGCTCCTTGCAGTGCCCAGGGTGCTGCAGCTGTTTTTGCCAAGGTGTCCTGCCTTCCTCCCCAGTGCTCTCTGGGTTTGCCAGGAAGAGCTTCGTCTGAAACAGCCATGGGGAGTCCAGCCACAGAGAATCACAGAATGCTTTGGGCTGGAAGGAACCTTAAAGATCATCTTGTTCCACCCCCTGCCATGGGCAAGGACACCTTTCCATAAGCCAGGAGCCATGGATGCTGGGAGGGAAAGGGAAGACGTGCATGTTGTGGTGCCACGGGGGGCTCAGGCACACCGAGAGCCTCTTACCAACCACTCTGCTCCATGATTATACCCTGCCCATATCCATGACTCACGGCTGAGGAGAAATCCCAAAGCCCATCCTTATCCCAGTCTAAAAAATACAACCACCCACCTGACTCCTTCGGGAAGTGCTCAGAAATAGCACAGATCAGGCTTTATCCTCACACCGAGAGGAGCAAACGGGATGGGATGGGCGGATCCACCATCACCAAACCCAACCAAAGTTACCCAACCCAGCAGCCACCCACCACCCAGAGGCCCCCCATGCCCCATCCCCCTGCCCAGCAGGCAGGGCACTCTGCCCACCCAGCCCAAGGTGTGTTTGTGTGCCAGGGAGGTTTGTCCTTTCCCCTTCCCAGGAAAAAGGTGTGCCGTTGGGAGCCGCGCTCCGGCCCCGCTCACACAGCCCTACGTGGGGTGGCTGGGAGCAAAGAGGTCCAAGTGGCCAATGGAGCACCGACTTATTCCATTTGCATGTCCCATCAGGATAATTGTGCAGCGAATTATGCATGCAAATGAGAGCTAGCCTTCTCCCACAAAAACTTATTTAATTAACATGATGGGGCTGAGGAAGCCGCAGAAATCAAAGCCATTCAAATTGAAGGCTGGAACTGTGTTCCCCAACTCTCCTGGCTGCTCCAAGAGCCACCCCCCGTAACAGGAACCCTCTGCCAGCACCAATACCTCCTGGGCATCTCCCCAGCCCTCTGAACATCCCACCCTGGTTGCCATCAAACCTAACCATTTTAAAGCCTGTTTTGTCCCAAGTGTTGAGGGGAGCTGGAATTTGGTGCTCCAGTGTCCGCCTACCTCAGTCTCAGCTTCCCCAGGATGCTGAGCTCCCACAGTTCCCCCAGAGCTCTAGATGGGAGCTGGGTGCTCAGTGTCTGCAACTGTGGGGACCCCAAACACTGCCTGACCAGCAGGGTCTGTCCCACGGAGCCTCCTTACACAGAAGATGCAGGAATGGATGGAGGGGATTTGGGAGACAAAAGAGCTCCACAGCCTTTCCTCATCCAAACCTCCTCCCTGCCTCGGGTCTCCAGGAAGGGATTCTCCCCATCAGAGTAGTGATTGTATGGAACTCCAAGCTGGCCTGGGCAGGGATATCCCAAGCAGAGGGCAGAGGAAGAGCTCTACAGCCAGCTGCCTGATCTGCTCATCCTGAAGGGTTCAGGCCAACCCAGAGCCTGCTCTCGGGGGGGACCCACCGTGTCCCGGGTGCTCGTGGCCCTGCTGATGCTGGAAACAGCTCTGCTGCTGCTCATGCAACCACCTGGAAACTGGATGGATGCTGGAGCCCATTAACCAGCTAGATGGGATTCCAGCAATAATTAGCAACCTTGAGGATTTATTTTGAACCGTGATTCAGTGTCCCACAGTGGGGAACTCGGTCCATCCTGCTGCTGGCACGAGAGCTGTTGTCCTGCCTCGCTCCCCAACCAGTTCATGTGCCCAGTGAAATGGGGAGTGCAGGGTGGACAAGCCCCCCTCAGCCCACCCTCGCTGCAGGACCTTCCCCTTCTCCATCTCCCCATTTTTAAGCAGAGCCGAGAGTTACACCTTTCAGGCTCACAGCCACCGTGTCCCTCCCAGCCTCTCTCCACCGTTATTGAGCCTAACTTCGGGAAAAAGAGAGGCTTTTCTCAACAAGGGCGCCCTGAGAAACCACCCCAGGACCGAGGGATGCTCGGAGTTGCCGGTATCACAGTTACGGGTCGGGGTCAGCTAAGCCCCGTGCTCCCCGGTGCCCCCTCGGTGCCTCCCCAGCTCTGCGCTGTCCCAGTCCTGCCCGTGCGCCGTGCTCTTCTCCGGTCCCCCGCGCCCAAGCCGCCTGGATCCTGCCCGCACGTCCCGGTACCCCCTGTCCTCCCGGTGCTGCCAAAGCCGCCTAGATGCTGTCCACAAGCCCCGGTCCTCCCGGTGACCCCGTACTGGCCCTGCTCCCGCACGTCCTGGTGTCCCTGGTGCATCCCGGTGCCCCCGCACGTCCCGGTGTTCCCGGTGCCCCCGGTGCATCCCGGTGCCCCCGTACGCCCCGGTGTTCCCGGTGCCCCCGGTGCATCCCGGTGCCCCCGCACGTCCCGGTGTTCCCGGTGCCCCCGGTGCATCCCAGTGCCCCCGCACGTCTCGATATTCCCGGTGCCCCCGGTGTTCCCGGTGCCCCCGGTGCATCCCGGTGCCCCCGCACGTCCCGGTGTTCCCGGTGCCCGGCGCGGCGCTCACCCATGTTGACGAGGCTGACCACGGTGTCCGCGTGGCTGACGACGCTGCCGGGCGGGGGGCTCTGGGTGCTGAGCCCGGTGAGCACCGGCCGCGACACGGCCGCTTCCTCGCCGTCCTCCTCCTCCTCCTCGCCGGCCACGGCGTGGTACAGGTCGAGCATGAAGAGCGGAGCGGCGGCGGCGGGGGCGCGGGCGGGGGCGCGGGGCCGGGGCCGGCCGGGCAGCCCCAGCACGGCCAGGATCTCCCGCTGCACGTCCCGCCGCTCGCCGCCGCTCAGCCGCCGCTGCGGGACCCCGGCGGCGTGGAGCCGGCGGCGGAGGACGCTGCCGCTGCCCAGCTGGCACAGCACAGCCGCCACCCACAGCAGCGCCACGGCCCCCCGCCGCCCCCCGCCCGCCCCGCGCCCCGGCCCCATGGCACCGCCGGGACCCCCCGCCCGCCCGGTGCGGTGCGGCCCCGGGCACCGGCACGGCCCCGGCTCCGGCCCCGGCCCGCCCCGGCGGGGCGAGGGAAAGGGACGGTCCCTCCGACGGCACCGCCCCGGCCCCGGCTGCGGGACGTCCCGGCCCTCCCCGTCCGGCGGCCCCGGGGATGGGGAGCCTGTGTGCAGCCGCCCCTGGGGGTGCTCAGCCTCGTGGGCACCCAAAAGCATTGACATCAAAATCCATGGGAACCCATCCCTGGGGATGCCTATCCTCGTGGGCACCCAAAGCCATGGGAACTCATCCTTAGGGATGACTATCCCCGTGGGCACCCAAAGCCATGGGCACCCACCCTGAAAGACACCCAAATGCACAGACACCCAACCCTAGAGATGCTCACCCCATGGGCACCCACTTCTAGGGATGCTCACCCACATAAATCACCAAACCCAAGGGCACCCACCCCTGTTGACACCCAAATTCACCAGCATGGGATAACCAGTTCCAGCTGTCAATCCTCACAAAGCTAACACTGGGGAATAAAGTAGGAGGCAAGATTGTTTATTACCGCAAGCAAGTTTAATACAAAAATGTGTCTGGTTTTTAAACAATTCATTGGTAGAGCTTCAGTTTTGCCTCAATTTTAAACCAAATTGAGAGAATCACACAGCAACACGGTCAGGGCCGGAGAGGAACAATATTTAATAAATACAGGAGCTGTGGAGAGCCCTGGCCCCCGGCCCATCTCCTGGTCACTTGGTCAGTTTGATTTTATTACAAAGAAAAAGTAGCGTACAAAAGCGAGACAGGACTTGCAGCGAGTGTGCTGGTGAGACTCATTTCAAGGACAAGCAACTGTGCGTGTAAGTCCAGATTTCTCCTAGGAGCAGAGTTCACATCAACCTCAGCCTGGTTGGAAGTGGAATGACCAGTTAAATAATAAATAGGAAACAAAGAGATGCAGATAAATAGCGATTGTGTAAGGAACGCCGTGCGTCGGGCTCTTTTAAGCCATCAATCCAGAAGAATCCTTGAATTTGGAGACCCACCACCGCTAACAAGGGGTGTATCCGAGGGATCCAGACCTGCAGTCGTACCCACGTGCTCTCCTCCAGCCGGCTTCGGCGTGAACCCCCCTCCTCAGACCCTTCCCCAAACCCCTCCCCATCAGTTTGTTCTTTAAAAACAAAGCTGTCGGGACAGTATTTTCGAGACAGAATTGTCACGACCTTTGCTGTAGTGTGTGCAAATTTTATTAAGTCAAACTCCGCTTTCTTCAGGTAAAACCACATAGCTTAAAAAAATGGAAACATAAGCCCCAAGTCCCCTCACCTCATGTCTCTCTGGTTGAGGTATCTGTGATTTACAAAAAGAGAGTTCCTTGAACACTGCAGGATTCAGGTCTTTGCTTTTAAATATAATTTACCTTGCTGAGACAGCAAGTTTATAAAGACATTTAGGAAACAATCCTAAAAGATAAAGCAGGTTCACACCCTGCACCGCGCAGAAATCCTATTTATATTTTAGTTTTTCTTTACACTTTCACATCTTGACCTTTTTTTCTTTTTGCTTCCTTTTTTTTTTTTTTAAATCTTTTTCTTGCTTTTTTTTGTTTTGTTTTGTTTTGTTTTGTTTTTCTTTCTCTTCCACGTTTCATTTTTCCAGGCCCCTCTCTGAATAGGGGTCACCGAGAGGCAAATTTTATCTACATAAATATTCACATGAAAATAGTAACTTACAAAAAACAAAAAAAAAAAAACCCAAATAAGGCAGCTTCATAACACAACTTTCTTTTACACTTTTAACAATATAGTTTCTCCCATTTAGATAAATATACATCCAATGTACGGAGCAGGGTTAAAAACTGGACACAGGTTGGGTTTTTCTCTCAGGAGGGTACGGGTACAGTATTATCTTTTAGGGCCTGGAGTTTTTGGGGTGGCAGTGGTCGTTTTCTTGGACATGGTTGGGATTTTGGAGGGTTTGGCCATGCCCCGGCGGGAGCTGCCCTGCCCGCCGGCCACGCTGCTCTCCGAGGTGTCCGAGCACGCCGACTGCGTTTCCAGCAGGTCGAAGTCGGAGGCGTCGCTCCCCCGCCGGCTGCTGGCCCGGCTCCCTGTGCGGCTCCCGGCCCGGCTCGTGGGACGACTGGCTGTTTTTTTAGGATCTGCAAGGGGAGCCCAGTGAGCCATGAGCAGGAGGATTCGGGTTCCTCCCCATCCCCGAACCGACCGGCACCCAAATCCCCAGCCCCGCTGTGGCTGCTTTTGACACCCGCCAGCACCCCTGAGAGAGGGGGCTCAGCATCAGAACCCATCCCTTCCCAAGCTTTTAACAGAGCAGGAGCAACTCCTTGGACTGCAGAACTCTGCCAGCATCTCCTCTCCCAGGCAGGGATGCAGCAGTGGGCATCAGCCTCCCACCCCACTGCCCACCACAAAACATTCCATATTTTCCCCACCAATTTAAGCAGCAACGGCGTTGGAGGGAGTTTTTCCGTCTTTTCACCCGACTTACCTGCCCGACTGGTTTTGGCACCTGTAGAGACTGGTGAGGAGCTGTTACTGGTGTCCCCAGCAAGGGAGGTTCGGCTGGAGTGGAAGGTGGGTCGCTTCAGTTTGCTGCCTGCTGCAGGGGTCACCTTGGGAGGAAGAACACACAGGGCATCCTTTAGCTGTCACTTGGACTGTGACGGGCCAAGATCACATCCAAGATCAGATCCTTGGCAAAAATATTTTGGCATTTAAGGAACACCCATCTTAATGGTCAAGGAGGACACAAGCTGCCGTTTCAGCAGTGGATGATTAAAAAGGAAAAAGCCCAGATCCTGAGAATTTGGAGGGTAATGGCAGTTTGTGCTCTGCAGGCTGATGCACAGGTAAAAAAAAATCAAAGCAAAGCTGTTATACATCCAGAGGAGACAGCATCAGCTGGGCTCAAAACCTCCACAAAGGGAAGGTGAAATATTGCAAAAATAGGAATTTTAGCATCTAGGCAGCTCAGGAGGGTTTTGGAAGGTTGTCAAGTACAACATGGGATCTTGAGAACTGCATCTCGTTGTGGGAGCATCAGCACAGCCTGACTGGGAGAGGTGGAGGGACACCCAGCTGGTGTCCACGCTCCCAGCACCAAAGGGCAGCCAAATTGGAAGAGTGATGAACAGAGACACAAAACACATCAAATCAGTTCTGGCCACATCCTGAAACGGTGCTTTTCCCGACCTTTAAGATGTTGCAAGTGTAGCTGATGTGGGGTGAAGCAGCACAACAGGCAACTCTGCTCCCGCCGCTGCGGGAGGAAGCGAAAGGGAAGGTGCCAGCAGGGTGAGGGCACCTGGATCCAGCTGGAAAAGGCAGCTCCAGTTTCTATTCACCACCCAAAGCTCTGGGTTTGGGGCAGTCCTGCAGGAAAGTGACTGCAGGAAAGTGTCCCCCATCCCTGGAGGCTTTGGGGAGCACAGGGATGCAGGGATGGCTCCAGCTCCTCTGCATCCCTGCACAGATGGACACTGACACCAGAGGGCATTTCCCAAGGAACTTTAAAGCAACAGATGGAGGGGTTTCTCTCCATCCTGTGGTTTTTGGGAAACTCAGAAACGTTGGAATGTGATGAAACTGGAGCTGCAGAGGGGAAAGGGGCAGCTGAGGGAATTAAAATCCATTAACGCGCGATTGCTGAGGTACCATTGTCATCATCAGAGATTTCGATTCTCATCCTTGATCCTATTTTATAATAAGCAGCAAGCACAAATTTAGGGCAATTGGGAAAGCGCTCCTGACCTTCTGATGAATTAAATTAATCCCTTTTCCACATGGAAGCATCACTGAGCAAGACACAAGTTACCTCACCAGCGCAGTGAACCACCGAGATCTACCCGGTGCCTCTCATCACCCATTCACAAAGGGCAAGGAAGTCCACGAGGAGGCTGAAAACTTTAGGGAAATCAAAATCTCAGGCCAAATTCATCCTCCTGGGAGCATCAAGGCGGTGACAGGGCTGGACACACCCGACGTGCTTCAACATGGTGATAAACACAAGCGCTCCATAAAACTGAGGCGGTGTAGTTACAGTGCATGCGCTGTAGCTGATTTTCAAGTCTCAACTCGGCTGCTGGATTTGAATTTTGGGAAGCCAAACACGGCCCCTTTCCCAATGCAAAAGCTATTAAAGCTTGGAAAATTAATGTATTTTTTAAAGCACAGAGAGAATTAACACCGCTCTCACGGTCTGGAGGCAGTTAAAGGCGAATTGAAAGCGCTGTGCTTCATTCTGAAGTCGATGTTTTATTTAATCCCGAGTTGGAAACCCATGAAAAACGCCAACAGTCGGAGCGTTAGCGGTGCTACAAGCGCTGCTCTACCACAGGGAAAGCGTTAAAACAGGCAGGGGAGTGGGATGACTCCGTGCCAGTGGCACTTTGGCCTGTCAGCAGGTCCTCGGGGCTGCCAGACCATACTCTACCTCGGCGCTCGGGAGCTGGAAGTCGGAATAATCGAATCCCCTCAGGGGGGTGCCCGCTTTACTGTTTATCAACCAGGGTTTGTCATAACATCGAGAGAAGTGATGTGGAGTCTGTGAAATGGAAAATCCAAGGAAGGGGGGGAGAGGTGGAATGAGTGGTAAAAAAAAAAAAAAAAAAAAAAAAAAAAAAGGGAAATGGAAAAGTATCTGGAATGGCGCGTGGGGAAACAGCACTAAAATGGAACGAGAACCAAACAGGAAATATATAAATTAAAATAAAGGGAAAAACCCCGAAAGGTGATGAAATAAACCATGCAGGGGTGAGTGATGTGGTGGGGGAGGAGAGATGGTGGTTGATGGATTCTTCCTGACATCACAGCTCTGCCATGAGGAACAGGAGCCTTCGGCTGCACGGCGAGCGCCGGGAACCCTCCTGAGGAGCCATGGGCGTCCAGTTTGGGCTGGAAACCTGCCCTGCACCATCCCACCCCTCCAATCCCACATGGACAGCAGGGTTCCTCCTGCAGACACC